TCGCCTGCATCGTCGGAGCCTGCCTTATCCCCCTCTGGGTGCTTCCCACCTCCTGGGGCACCCTCACAGCGGGGGCCTTCCTCCTCCAATTCATGGTGCAAGGTGCGTGGGGCGTCGTCCCCGTTCACCTACAAGAACTCTCCCCACCGCAGTTCCGCTCCGCCTTCCCCGGGATTTGTTATCAGCTCGGGAATATGATTTCCGCGCCGGCGGCACAGATAACGAGTACCGTGAGCGAGAAAGATACGGTGTGGATTGATGGCGAGGAGAGGCCGAATTACGGGAAGACTCAAGCGGGAATGATGAGTGTTATTTTTATACTGCTCGCTATTTGGGTCGCCAGTGGGAGGGAGCAGTTGGGGAGTAGGTTTGAATTGGCGAGGGCGGCTGGGGATGCGGAGGGGATGGTGGAGGAGGGGAAGGCGGGCGAGGTGGAGGAGGGGAAGAGTGGGAGTGAGGAGAGTTTGGAGGAGGATGTGAAGGCTGGGGGGAAGGAAACGAAGTAGGTCGAAAAGGGTAGTAACTAATAACGGGAAGGCGTTGAAGTGGAGAACGTATGGATGCGGAGGTGTGTTTGACAGTTCGGATGTTGAAATGAAACTAATGATGATATGGTATGATCATTCGAAATTTCGGCTGCAAAGTCAGAATTTCTATCTTATCAATTGAACCTTATCCAAGCTTCCGAACCATTCGTTTTGGCGCTGCTGTGTTTATTTTCCGACACTCCTTCTAAACATCTTCTCTTCCGCTAACTGAACTGGCCGCTTAACTCGCCGAATTGCATCTCGGAGTAATGACATGATTTATGAGCTCTTGAACTACATACTTGATCACACTTGGGCTGTCTACTGTATCTACTACACAACACGTACTATTGTACGTACGCTCCAGCTCACACTACGCTACAACCTGTACTCAAACACACTGCATATTTGGTGCTATAATAATTCATAGGGAAGGCTACGGATATGGATATCCCCACCTAGAGACCCAGCAATTCTGGGCTCTTGTCATTGCTCCGACCTCTTCAGTGGTCTCGACCCTTTATACGGGACTGCAATTCAAGCCCATTTCCCCCGTCCCCCTCCCCCCTCCCCCTTCCCCCAAGTCCGCAACATCATCCCACGCACGCTGATAACCGATCCATCCTCCTCCCCACCCCCCTCTCCCGCCTCAAAGCCCCATTACAGCCCGCCCATATGTTCACTCTCCCACTCCTTCTGCCTTAGTCGTTCCTTCTCTCGTTCACGCTCCAGAAACGTCATTCTGTTGGGAATGAATCAGTTTGTGCTTCGATCGGGGATGCAAAAAAGTATAATACAACGCAACGCAACGCAATGGAAAAACGAGATAAACAAAAAGGAAATTAAGCAGTACAGTCTATAAAAACGCAGGTAAGAAGAAACAGAGAATGGAGAATAAACAGAACAGCAACGTTATGCGGGAACTTGAACAAACAAACGAGACCGAGAATAAACACTATACAGGAGCGAGCAAAGGTATACACAAACAATAAAACGCACAAACCAAGCAAACGAACGGGCTATACACAAACAGAACAGCAGCAACTCGAAGGGCTTTCTTACGGATTCGCCATCACGGGTCTCTGCGCCATCGTTGTCCCAATCGGGGGCGCCGACGACCTCCCATACTCCATGCCCATTTCCCTCCTCCCCTCCTCCACCGTCCCCCTCGACGCAGGTCTCTGCCACTTCATCTGCGGTCTATCCAACTTTGTCGGGCTATCGAGCGGCTTCCTATCGTCTCCCTCCTCCCAACTCTTCTTCCTCTCGACGACCTCCACCTCCTCCCTCACCCCCAAAAACCCTCTCGTCGTTCCCGAGGGCGAGAGCGCGGGAATCGGGGACTTCTTCAGCGGCGGAGAGGGCAATTTCCGATTCGGGATGTCCAGAAAGTTAAACCGCTCCTTCTCCTCTTCCGGGGAATCCTTGACGCCGATTTGCTGGAGCGTGACGCGGCCGGTAGGGTCCCATACGAGTTCCGCGCGGGCCGCGAGATACATTTGTTCTCTCCGTTTCGCCTCCGCGAGTTCGCGCTCGAGTTGTTTCACACGCTCGCGTTCACGGGTAAGCGGGTCAAGTTGTTGTTCCTTTTGTTGTCTGTGGACTGCGATCCGAATCGAGTCGTCGAGATCCGAGTCTCTTGCTTCACTAGCCTCCAGATCCTCCAACGCGCGGCGGTCAGCTTCTCGCTGCGCCGCGATTTGCTCAGAGTAGAGTTTTCGGCGGTCGGCTTCTTCATGGGCTTCACGGAGCTCGGATTCGCGGAGTGATTCCTCGCGCTGGCGTTGACGGTGAGCCTGAACTTCGCGAGCTCTTTTCTCGCGGCGTTCCTGTTCCTCGCGGGCGTCGCGGAGCTCTTTTTCCCTTCGATGGGCCTGCAGTTCTCTCTCGCGTTCTTCGCGGGCCTTTGCGGCGACCTCGGCATGGTGGAGGCGGCGGAGCCGTTCTGCTTCTTCCTCACGCAGCTTTTCTTCTCGTTCCAGTTGCTCGCGTTTTCGATCTTCTTCTCTGATGCGACGGAGTTCCTCTTCCCGGGTTTTCAAGGAGTCTTGTTTTTTGCGTAGCTCGGCGGCTTCGGCTTCTTGTTGTTTCCGCAGCTTTTCACGCTCCTCGCGTTCTGTTGCTCGCCGCTTGTCGAAATCGCTGATGACGGGCGTTTGGGTGATTTGTCGCCGTGCGCCAAAGGAGATGCCTTGGTTTTGCGAGGCACCGCCCATGTACCCGTATTGCATGATGTTCCACGCGGGAGTCGTTGTGAACTCTTGGTCTTTTTTGGTCCATGCCGTGACGACTTCTTTTTTCTTTGGTTCGCCTCTTCCTGGTGAAACGGGCGATTTTGCGCCGGATGGCTGTGGGGAGAGGGCTGCCGGGGAGAGGACACCACCTTTCAGCCCGCCAATCGTCTCGGGGAATTTTTGGGGGTTGAGAGCATGCGCAGCCCGGGAAAAGGCGGAGAGACATTGCACGACCTGCGCGGGGTCTTTGCGGTCGAAGAGGTCGACGGTGAGGAAGCGGTCGTGAGGGGGGAGGGAGACTGGCGGCGAGGAGATGAAGGAGAGGAAGTGGGAGATGTTTTCCATTTGGACGAAGGGCATTGCGGAGGCTTTGAATTTGAGTTGGCGGTCGGAGAGGAGGTTTGCGAGGCTGTAGGGGGTGTGAGTAGCTGGCGCTCTGGGGAGAGTTTGGGGGCGCTCTGAGGAGAGTTTGGGGGCGCTCTAAGGAGAGTTGGGGGGCGCTCTGAGGAGAGTTGGGGGGGCGCACCGACAGAGGAGAGTGCCGTCTTTCAAGAGGTCCATGAGATCTTTGTCGGGCAGTGATTCTCCAAGTGTGCTGATGATCCAGCTGCGAACCATTTCTGACGCCTGCGGGGTATATTTCTTGAGGCGCAGGTTCTTGAGGTCTTGGTCGAGGGAGGAGACGGACGCCATGGTGACGGTTGGGGGTTGAGGGGTGGCGGATGAGGACGGCGGAGGGTGAGGAGGTGAAGATAAGAGGTGAAAGGGGTGTCAGGAGTGTGGTGTCGTGGTGTTGAGAGCTCTGGTGGTCGAGGAGCTTGAGCTCAGGCCCCGACAGAAAATGTCTCGGCCGGGAAATGACGTTACGCCACGACCAAGCACTCGCTGAGATGAGACGATGAAAATGAATGTTGGTCGGATAAAACAGCTATCGAGGACAAGGCACTGGGACGTTAACTATGGAGCTATACACCTGTGCATTTCATCAGTCATTTATTGTTATGGGATCATGGAATCGTAAGTCCGTTGTCGCTGCCCGCATTGACCCTCCCAGTCCCAGGCTCCCCTATTCCCCGCTCACCAATTTTATTTCTCTAGCCTCTCCACGTTGAGATAAGGTGCTTACTCCTGAGGGCTCTGGCGATGTATTCTCGAAGTGAGCTGGGACATTTGAGTACCGTGGCCTGTTTTATGCCCGTAGAGTACCGCCGTCTCCCGTAGCAGACTTGATGGCTACATTCAAGCAGGAAAATGGGGAACATGGGAGAATCACATTGAGACACAGGAGCAACACCCATTACCGAAGATACATCGCAACAAGCATATCATCAATCGAGACTTTATTCATCTACCTACTCTACCAAACACTGTATCACCACCACCACACATGAATCAGGCATTCTCCCGCTCACAGCATGGCGCTGGCGCCATGTCAGAGCCGGTCTCCAACCACCCATCTAGGTCTTATAGACTCGCCCTCCCTCTCACTCCATTTCCCTGAATAAAATCCTATATCTTTCTCAACGTCAGCCTCATCTCAATCCACCTCATCTCTCGCCCCTTCATCCACCGACAGCACCATTCAGGGTCTAATTAAAACGTTTTTATAACAATGGCATCATGGATGATCAATTGTAATCAAAGTTTTCTCATCATGTTGGTGCTGTGGGCGGGGGTATTCCACGGGAGCTTGTAGACGAGGGAACGTACCGTTAGCATAGGGTCGCGTGGTGCTGCCGATGATGGGCAAAGTGGTTGGGGGAGAATGGAATGCGGCGAATGCGGTGGAGAGGCGGAGAGGCGGAGAGGTGGGGGGATCAAGGATGCGCGCTCATGGGGGCGGTGGGTGGTGATGGGGCATTGTTGCGGTTGAAGAGATGGTGGTGGAGGGACAGGAGAAGAGAGAGGTGAAGAGGCGGGGAGTGGTGGTTTGGAGAAGGAAAAAGATTTGCGTCTTATAGAGGTGCACGTGAGTGAGTGGAGGGGTTTGAGCCTCATTGAGTTTGGCGTAGAGCAAATCGAAACAACGGGATGTAGGAAAAGAACGACAATGGTCAAGGGAACCTGACAGTGTTACGGTAGAATAAAGACAGAGAGCACGGTTGGAACACAGGGAAATGTGATAATACTCATTACAAGATGTTTCATGTTGGTGAGTGCCAAAACGCGCAATCGCAGCACACGGTATGCGGACTTGATGATAAAAATAAAAATAAAATAAAAATAAAAAGCAAACCAAAGCTCACAGGCGGATTTGAACCACCGATCTTCGCATTACAAGTGCGACGCCTTACCCCTTGGCCATGCGAGCGGTTGTTTGATACTCATCCTTATATACATGATATTATAATGCTACTATATTCTTTGGGACCAATGGCACCGTATGAAGAAAATCAAGAGAGCGGAGAACGAGAAGTGCTGGTGGTGCGGAGCCCCTCGGCAGAACCGAGGCCACCTGTTTAAGGAATGCAGTAACAGGAGAAGGCAACAAGAAAAGCTATGGAAAAACCTTGGAGAAGAAGGCCTCACAAAGACACATGCACTCTCTTCGATATTTGCGGAGCTGAGGGCCACCGCAGCTATCCTCGAGTTTCTGGAATCCACAGACGTCGTGAAATTATATAACGAAGAAGAAAGGAAACGACAGGAGGAAGAGAGATTTGAACAATGGGGGTGGGGAGAGACGGATGAGCAGGAGGCCGGTGCGGCAAGGGACGGGTAAGAAGGAGATGGAGAATGAGGGGCAGAGAGAGGGAGACGGAGAATTAGGGGCGGAGAAAAAAAGATGGAGAGTGAGAGGCGTTCATCATAAAGAACAGATATAGGAGAGAAAAGAGCCCAGTTGTATGAACTGGAGCTCAACTCAAATGGCATTCCTAGCCAACGCGAAGGGGTGGTGAGAACAAGGGTTGAAAGTGGATGAATCAATGCATCTAGAAAAGAGAAGGAAATGAATCAACGGGGAGGGGGTGAGGAAGAAGAGTGTATGTAGGTGGTCGTGCCATATCCCAACAGGACGCATGCGCTAAAATGAATATAATCAATCAATCAAAACCAGTGACACCGACCAGAAAAACGCCCGCCCGAGCGACTTACGAGCCTGTTTGACCACACCTTCGGCTCCTCTGGCGTACCCTCCATCGCCCTCGCCCAGAAGAAGGCCGCTGGAGGAACGAGACTCCGGTCCAGCCTACGCGCTGTGAGCATCGCGACCCCCACTCACCAGACCGCGTCAACCATCACCACCGACACTGCTCAATCTCCGATCAACAATGCATTGCCAGTAGAGCAGAACCATCAGGATGAGAGGAAGAACGAAAGGGCTCGCAAGAGACCACACTCTGCAGGAGACCTGGTGGAGGACTGCTCTATCGCAGAACTTCAGAAACTCGTGGTGAAAGCCATCCAAAAGGCCATGACCCCCTGAAAACGGAAATCGAAGCTCTAAAAGCGACAATCGAAAGACTTTCAGGATACATACAAGAGCTGAACCGCAAGGCCTGCGCACAACCCCGCACCACAGTTAACCCCGGTAGTCCCCAAGCGACGATCTTCAATACCCCAGGTCAGGGCCAGCCCAGCAACATTACTGGAGAGCCCACATGGGAGGAGGTCGTAAACCACCTCTCTTGGGCCCAGACGGCCGCATCCCCAGGCCAAGCAGGAGCTGCGGTACCGAGCTCCGGACAATGGCAGGTAGTCAACAGGAAGAATGGCCGAATGGGCAAGAATACCCAGGCAGTGTCCAACAAAGCAAAAAACCCGAAGCCTCTAAAAAGGAGTGTCAGACGGAGACAGGCGTCTAATCCTTCAGAAGCCCAATGGTATGGAAGCTTGGCATGGGCCTGATTTGCTGGTTGCTTTCAATGCTACACTTCAGAAATCCGGAGCTGCCGCTCACATCAGAGTCCAGAGAGTGGACATAAACGCAAAAGACACGGCCACAGTACGCCTTGGGCCACATGCAACAGGAACCATGGCCCTGAAATACAAGGAGGAACTTCTCCAAGTGGCCTGCAGAGTAGATGAATCTATTGTAGGTATTCAAGCTAATGAGGCCTGGATCAGAATAAAGCTCCACGGTGTGAGCCTCACACGATACTATCAACCCACCGAGAATAAGGAAGGCCTCCAGAAGCTGACGGAGGATATCAAGAACGCATACCCTGCAATTGACATGCCGACAAGCCCCAAGTGGCTTTTACGTCCCAGACAGCAGCCCACTCCTCCGTCGTGATCACGCTTTGCCAAAGAAAGGATGCCGAATCGATCTGTGGCAAGAGATTATGGATCTATGGCAAACACCACTCAGCTGACAAATTTCTACCGGCCGGGCCAGACGTCTTCTGCGAAATATGCTCCGACTGGGACCATGCTGCCCATAGATATGAGAGAGCGAAAAGACCTGCCTGCATGTTATGTGGAGAAGAGCACCTGTCCAAAGAACACCGATGTCTGATAAAAGGGTGCGGAGCGAGCGCCGGCAAAATCTGCAAACACCTGAGAAGGAAATGTTGAAACTGCAGAGGGAAACATACCGCGAAGTCTGAGTCGTCACCTGGACCGTGGATCACAAACGCACCATCTGCTCTGATCACGAGCTCATCGTTTGGGAAACAGCTGGAGAGCACTACCCTCCCAAGGTAGCAGGACAGACGGGCTGGGCAATAACAGATCTCCTGGAAGACCCAAAGCAGAAGTCCAGGGCCGTAGCAATGTGGTCAGGGCACGCAGGGGGGAGAAAGGAAGTTTATGAGTGGTCGAACCGCACACCGGGCCGGGGCGAAATAGACGGCGAAGCCGTGTGGATTGAAAGAACCATAACGGCAGTCCTGAATGAGCATGCGCAGAAACTCCGCATCACAGCCCGCTCCAAACGTTGGTGGAATCAGGACATCGCTGAGGCCAGAAAAGTCCTCGCCCACGCCAAACGACACCTCCGACGCCTTCGAAGGGACGACCCGCTTGGCCATGAAGTAGACGTGGCGGTCGATGTAGCTAAGTAAGCCCAAAGTCATTTACACAAGCAGATCAGAATGGCCAAAAGAAGCACCTGGCAGAAGTTCCTTCAAGAAGCCACTGACAAGTAAATATGGACGGCAATGAGGTACACTAAACCCACAATCTCACCTACCATGTCGACACTCCGTGATCCGGAAGGCAACAAGGCAGTGACGTTGGAGGAAAAGGAGATGATGCTACGCAAATCAGCTTTTCCTCCCCCGCCGGCTGATAACTCGTCCGATCCCCCACCGTCCCACAGACTGAAAAGCGGCAGTTCAGCCCATCTATCCATCAATGAAGTCATGGTACGGAAAGCCTTATTTGCCCAGAGCACCGGAAAAGCACCCGGACCTGACCACATCAACTTCGCTATGCTCAGGCTAATCTGGGAATGTGATCCCAAAAGGATCACCCTACTCATCCAAGCATGCCTCGAAGTAGGCCACCGCCCAGCTGCTTGGAAGAAGGCTCGAGATATCGTCCTACGCAAGCCTGACAAAGCGGACTACACGGTGGTTAAATCATACAGAGTGATTTCACTCCTTAATTGCCTTGGTAAGGTAGTGGAAAAGATCGCAGCCTAACTCATCTCCGCACACTGCAAAGCCCTGGGTCCAAATGGCCTACACAGAAGACATATGGGTAGCTACTCATGTAGATCGGCAATCGACGCGGTAGCCATAGCCATGAACAGGATCCAACAGGCTTGGGCAGATAAGGAGTCAGCAGCGATGCTACTTATGGATGCAAAAGGCGCCTTCAACCACGTCTCTCGAGTCTGTCTACTATCCAGCATGGAGAAGAAAGGAATTGACATCGGATTGATCAGTTGGGCATCTAGTACAGGGACAACATCGCGATTGTGACAAGTGCTGGTGGTGCGACGGACCCACGACCACCTTTTCAAAGAGTACAGAACATAGAAAAGACAACATGACGGACTATGGACTGCACTGAGGAAAGAGGGGTTTACAAAGTCACACGCGCTGTCGACAATCCTTGCAGAACCCAGGGCAGCACCAGCCATCTTGAATTTCATCAATGAAACGCACGTAGGGAGCCCAAATACAGTGATTGAAGACGTAGCCGCAGAGGAACGGAGGAGCGACGAGTGGGGTTGGAGAGATGAGGCGGAGGAAGTTGGAGCGGAGGTAGAGAGTATATGAAGCATAAAAGCAAAGTTCCGACCAAATTATTTCAATCGAAGGCGATAAAGTAAAAGCCTCATCGATTATAGCAGCCCAGACACACGTTGTACCAATTTTCGTTTTGAGTCGTTGCAGGATTTTTCGTGCGCAGACCGGACCCAGCGGAATAAAGTTTGGGTAACCTTCGGAGGTGGTGCAGATAAACACTGGTCAAGACCAATTATCGTTTGTACCTGGCGTGAATGGTTAGTAAAGTATCATACATCATGACGTCTCAGCAGGTCTTCAAGCTTGGAGGCTGCCGCTTTGCGCTTGAAGACCGCTCTAGACTCCATACTAATTTATGATATAGGAGAAAAAACGCCTCCTCGATTGGTTTCGCTCGGCTGAACCTTTACAGACCAGTGGACAAAAACGGCGTCGAGACAATGAAGTTGCTGAAGATGCAAGAGAGAAAAGTAGACGGATTGATGTTATGTTGGGACGTGTAAGTGTCGTATCTTCTATGCGTCCTATTTGACCTTGCTGACCTCATATCGGAAGACGATTTTTCCAGTAGGTATCAATTCCCGTTTCGTTATATGTTGATGTATTAACACTTCTTCAGGGAGTTTCAACCTGGTAGAAGAGCGCCACGAATATGTTTATTCATCGTCCATCATCGGATCTTCAACTTGCACAGAATCGATTACTTCCATGGCTTACTTGAACGAACGTGCGGCGTTTGATAATTTGTACCGGGCGATTGGAGACTGTAAATTGATGCTATCGGATGGTCGCTTCGTTGAGGACATTATCTATTCACTTTGTAACGAAATGGGCTCGTCCGACTTCTATGGAAGCTTACTTGGACAATTCATTCTCGATATAACCACAGACACTCTATTCCCTCCATTGTATTTGAAGGAGCTGAAAAACGAATTTCCCTTACTGCCTACTGTATCTACCAGGCTAAAAGGCTATCGCAAGCCCTGTAACCAAGCTCCAAAGGAGTGGCTCAAGTGCAAAGCGGCAGCCTTCAAGCTCGAAGACCTATCGCAAGCCCTCTCACCAAGCTCCAAGTAGTGGCACAAGCGCAGTCCCTCTTATTCGTTTACATGAAGTGGTCGAGTCAAGTTGCGTGGTTTACTGGCGCTGGAAGGGATAAAGTGCGGTTTGT